TGAGTGGCACATTTTCATGCCTGGCATTCATCAGGCTGAAATCGCGCTTGACGCTTGGAATGTTGCGCAAATGTCCAGCAGACGTGACAGCAGTTCAAACTGTTGCTCTCTTAGGTGCTCAGGCATGAAACTGTGCAGCTCAAACACTATACTTTTCCACTCACACTGAAAAAAAAATTAGAGGGAACATTGCCCACCACTGCTACACATATACACTTCTTGAGTGAGAATGTACTTTTTTATATGTGTCTATATCTTGCAGAGGGCAAAGTTAGTTTGGGAATTCATGAACCTGTCCTCCAAAAGCACCCCACCCTTAGAAAATAACAAATAGGAACAACATATACTGAAAAAGATTCTTCTCTCCCTTTTTCAAAGGAAAACGAGAACTCTCAATCAACAATGCAAAAGCCAACCCTGATTTGAACACTCGTTAATATCACAGCTTTTTAATAAAAACAAAAAAACCTCTTACGCAGAAGGAGGCAATGGAAGATTATATTGCTGATCCTTCACACCTGTCAGCCAATAAGTAATCTCAGTTCCTTTGCCCTAATATGAAATGATAAGATTATAATTAATTATTAATTTATAATTATTGTTATTACTATATTGCATGATTTTTTTTAAAAAAAAGCAAATTATTTAAACCCACTGAATGTATAAATATATATAACACATGTTGTGATTAATTCAACCTCAGGATTTGCTAGCATGACCATTAAAAGAAGGAGAGGAAAGGAAAGGCCTTGGACAAGATGCTATTTTATAAAGTAATCAATTGCAAAAATTTTCACCATAAAGGCAACAGGACTATTGTTTCCCTGAGGAGGAAGAAGACATTTTGCTTCTCATCCAAGAAGCTTAATCTGGCAGGATGAAGGGGTGGGGGGGAGGTTCAAAGTATCATATTTCTTTGGCAGTCATCTGGAAATTAGCACTCTCCCTAGGAGCTCTTGAAGCCACTTGGAGGGTTTATCTGTGCAAATGGGGCTGGGGGGGGGGAGGTCAGTGGCAGGTTAAGGCTCACAGGTGCCCTAAGCACTGACAAATCTTGGTGCCCCGCCTCCTTTGTATATACTGTACAAATCTTCATTGGGTGTTTTTTTCTTTCTCAACTTTGTGGTGTCACCTTGGCCCTGATGCCCTAAGCACATGCTTAGTCTGCTTAATACATCACTGGGGGTGGTGAAACTGCTCAATGTTAACATAAATGGCCTCCCTCCCCCCCACAGCCCCCCAAAAAACTTCAAAAAATTATCACAAGTTCACTGCTGCAAATCAGGAATGCATTTCCCAATCCAAGATCATATAATAACATTTATTACAAATAATCCTCACTTACCAAGGATAACTGGGACCAGCCACTACATCACTAAAGGTTGTGGTTGTAAGGCACCACACTGAGTTATTACAGTTGTAAGGTGACTTGCCAACTTACAGTGAATGTTCCAGCAGTATTAGTTGCCATGAATCCCATGTTATTATAGCATCCCACAGTCACGTGATTATCATTTGTAACCTCCTGCCAGCCTCGCCATTGATTTTGCTTGTCAGAAGATGGCAGTGAAGGTCACAAAAGTGATCATATAATCATGGAATGCTGTGATGTTCTATTTGTGATCTGATCATTAACTACCCAAATCACAATCAAGTGACCACAGGGACTCTGCAATGGGTATAGTTATGAGGATCTGTCGTAAATATCTCTCTCATTCCACACTGTTGTAATTTCAAATGGTCACTGCATGAGTGAATGTTAAGTGAAGCCTACCTTTAAGTAGTTTGGACACAACTGAACTATAAAGTTATATTTTAAAAGCTATTTAGCCTCTTAAATAAATTTTCACTGTAAACAGATTTTTAAAATTATGAATATATGGTTATAGATTACCTTCAAATATGTTTCTCCTCGTTCTTCATACTGGAATTGACAGTCTGTCCTCTTCAGAATATCAACAGTGGAACCACTTACATGAATCCGCAAAGCTAAAAGTAAGCATATAAAACAACCACAATATTTGTAAGATAGTTTTTATTATCTTATTAGTTTTGGGTTATGCCAAATTATACAGTTGATATTTAGTAATTCTTGATTTTTTTATGGGTGAAAACAATAGAATTCAGTTATCTGAAAAGTACCATTGTTTTCATAAAAAACATTTGTAATTAAGTATATGTAATGCTGAACATACTAATATAAATTTGGATTAGCTTTGATGATTTTATGTATTTATTGGTCATATAACAATTTATACTAGAATTCACCACAATTCCAGGCCCAGGTAACTGAACAAAGTCAGGCTGATGTTTTAGACTTTAAGAGAGCTGACCTTCAACACACTAGGAGTCTATGAGACTAGGAAGGATTCCATGGATGAAAATCCTAGAGGGGAAAACAGCATGAGATGCTTGGGTTACTCTGAAAAACAAATAATAAAGACCCAAACAAAAACAATACCAGGAGAAAGAAAACAAGAGACAAGCATGGTTGCATAAAGAGCTCTCTGGCAAACTGAAGGACAAATAGGACCAGTATAAAAAATGGAAAGAGTAGCATTTAACAAGAGCAGAATACCAGCAAGTAGTCCAAATATGCAAGAAGGCGAAGGCATGGAGTTAACTAAGACTTATAACAAATGCCAAAAATGGCAAAAAAAAGAGAGAAGTTATTTTCAATATGTCAAGGAAATGGTTGATTCACTAGTGGGAGAAAATGGCAAGAAAATGATGGGCAGCAGGGAGAAAGCAGAACTGTTTAATTCCTTCTTTGCATCTGTCTTTAAGCAAAAGGGAAAAATGTAGCCCAACCTAACAAAAGCAGAATGCCAGACTAATCTTATTGCATTCTATATAAGGTAGACCATAACCTACTACTAGATAAAGTAGAAGAATGTGGGTTGGACAGCATCACCACCAGATGGATTTGTTGTTGGTTTGGCTAACCAACCGCACTCAATGTATAGTCCTCAATGGAACTGCATCTACATGGAGGGAAGTATGCAGTGGAGTATCCCAAGGCTCTGTTCTAGGCCCAGTACTCTTCAACATTTTCATCAATGATTTGGATAAGGGAATAAATGGGGAATTCATCAAATTTGTAGATGACACCAAACTGGAAGGAATAGCCAACATTCCAGAAGACAGGCTTAAGATACAGAAGGATCTTGACAAACTTGAACATTGGGCACTATCTAATAAAATGAAATAGAATGGTGAAAAGAGTAAGGTTCTACATTTCGGCAGAAAAACGAAATGCACAGGTACAGTATAAGTGGTACCTTCCTCAATAGTAGTAACTGTGAGAGGGATCTTGTAGTCCTAGTGGACAACCATTTAAATATGAGCCAGCAGTGTGCAGCAGCTGCCAAAAAAGCCAACACAGTTCTAGGCTACATAAACAGAGGGATAGAATCAAGATCACGTGAAGTGTTAATACCATTTTATAATGCCTTGGTAAGGCCACACTTGGAATACTGCATTCAGTTTTGTTGGTCACGATGTAAAAAAGATGTGGAGACTCTAGAAAGAATGCAGAGAAGAGCAACAAGATGATTAGGGGACTGGAGACTAAAACATATGAGGAACGGTTGCAGGAACTAGGTATGTCTAGTTTAATGAAAAGAAGGACTAGAGGAACAGTCTTCCAGCATCTCAGGGATTGCCACAAAGAAGAGGGAGTCAAACTATTCTCCAAGGCACCTGAGGGTAGAAGAGTTTAAGAGTTTAAGAGTTTATTAACATTTATAGGCCGCCCTTTTCCCTGAGGGGACTCAGGGCGGCTCACATAAAATCAGGAAAGGGGAATACAAACAATGACGTAGACACACATAAGTAAAAATAATGAGCAACATTCATTCATCATTCGGGAGGGGTGGCTATCTTTGTCCCCAGGCCTGACGGGCTAGCCAGGTCTTAAGGGCTATGCGGAAGGCCTGGACGGTGGTGAGAGTACGAATCTCCACGGGGAGCTCGTTCCAAAGGGTCGGAGCTACTACTGAAAAGGCCCTCCTCCTTGTAGTTGCCAGCCGGCACTGGCTGGCAGATGGAATTCGGAGGAGGCCCAATCTATGAGATCTAATTGGTCGCAGGGAGGTAATTGGCAGAAGGCGGTCTCTCAAGTACGCAGATCCACTACCATGAAGGGCTTTATGGGTGACTAGTAGCACCTTGAAGCGCACCCGGAGATCGACAGGTAGCCAGCGCAGCTCACAGAGGATAGGTGTTATGTGGGTGAACCGAGGTGCACCCACGATCACTCGCTCGGCCGCGTTCTGGACTAGCTGAAGTCGCCGGATGCTCTTCAAGGGCAGCCCCATGTAGAGCACATTGCAGTATTCCAGCCTAGAGGTCACAAGGGCCCGAGTGACTGTTGTGAGAGCCTCCCGATTCAGGTAGGGTCGCAACTGGCGCACCAGGCAAACCTGGGCAAATGCCCCCCTGGTCACAGCCGTCAGGTGGTGGTCAAAGGATAGCTGTGGATCCAGGAGGACTCCCAAGTTGCGAACCCTCTCTGAGGGGTGTAAAATTTGACCCCCCAGCCTGAGTGATGGAATATTGGTCGAATCTTTGGGAGGGAAGCACAACAGCCACTCGGTCTTTTCTGGGTTGAGTACAAGCTTGTTAGCCCTCATCCAGTCCATAACGGCCTCAAGGCCTCGGTTCATCACGTCTGCCGCTTCATTGAGTTGGCACGGGGCGGACAGATACAACTGGGTATCGTCCGCATATTGATGGTATCTTATCCCGTGCCTGCGGATGATCTCTCCCAGCGGTTTCATGTAGATGTTGAATAGTAGGGGCGATAAGACCGAACCCTGAGGCACCCCATATGTTAGGGGCCTAGGGGTCGATCTCTGTCCCCCCCCACTAACACCGACTGCGACCTGTCCGAGAGGTAGGAGGAGAACCACCGCAACACGGTGCCTCCCACTCCCACCTCCCGCAGTTGTCGCAGAAGGATACCATGGTCGATGGTATCGAAAGCCGCTGAGAGGTCAAGGAGAACCAGGATGGAGGGATGTCCTCCATCTCTGGCTCTCCAAAGATCATCGGTCAATGCGACCAAAGTGGTTTCTGTGCTGTAACCGGGTCTGAAGCCTGACTGGAAGGGGTCAAGATAGCTTGCTTCCTCCAAGGACCGCTGGAGCTGGAAGGCCACCACCTTCTCAACAACCTTCCCAAGAAAGGGACTAGAGGAACAGTCTTCCAATATCTCAGGGGTTGCCACAAAGAAGAGGGAGTCAAACTTTTCTCCAAAGCACCTGAGAGCAGAACAAGAAGCAATGGGTGGAAACTAATCAAGGAGAGAAGCAACTTAGAACTGAGGAGAAATTTCTTGACAGAACAATTAATCAGTGGAGCAGCTTGTCTCCAGAAGTTGTGAATGCCCCAACACTGGAAGTCTTTAAGAAGATGTTGGATAGCCATTTGTCTGAAATGTTTTCCTGCCTAGGTAGGGGGTTGGACTAGAAGACCTCCAAGGTCCCTTCCAACTCTGCTATTGTATTGTATTGTATTGTATTAAGAGAGTAAAAGAATTGAAATGGAAATGGGCTGGTTACAGAGCAAGAAAAACTGAAGGCAGGTGTATTTGTATTTGTATTGTATTTGTATTTATTTGTCTTGTATGCCGCCCACTCCCGAAGGACTCCGGGCGGCTCACAAAAGACAAGGGAAGGTGGACCAAGGCAGCTATAAAATGAATCCCTCTTGATAAAAAGCATCCACAAAAGAGACCTAAAACAAAATGGATCGATTTCATCAGCAAGTTTTGCAGGCTCAATTGGCAAAAGAAAGCTTAGGACTGTATTAGTTAGAAACATGCCAAAGAGGCCTTCATCCTGCAATGTATAGACAATGGCTAAGTTGATGGTGACATTTGTATTGTACATTTCCATCAAGTAGGTAAGAAGCTATATATGTTGCAGTGCCTTGTAATCTAAATCCACAAAAATTACATGCTTATCTATGAGATAGTAAGTCTTTATCATATCTTGATAAAATGTTTTTTATATATGAAATTCTGAATTTGACTGTATAAAATATTGTACAGTTAGAAACTCTGTTCTTACGTAAACCTGTAGACTCCATTCTTGAAGCTGTGTTCACCGTGTCTCCAAACAAGCAGTAACGAGGCATTTTAATCCCAACCACACCAGCTGCACACGGACCTGAACACAAGATAAAATAGAAATTCTCTGAAAAGGTAAGTCCATATTGCAGGGGTGTCAAACTCAAGACCTGTGGTGCCTCTGCCAATGAAAATGGAGCTCGAGAGGGCCGTATGCATCCCCCTGAGCTCCATTTTCGCTGGGAGAGGGTTGCAGGAGACCGTTTTCTCTGGCAGAGCATTCGGGCCACCACAGGTGCCCCCAATACAAATGACATCATGCTGACCATGCCCACCCCGGCCCTCGGAGGTCAAACACAACCCTGATGCAGCCCTCAATGAATTAGAGTTTGACCCCTCCCGCCATATTGTATAATTAATCTCACTGTTTACAATCCTTCAATCGTGTATCAATATTTGTAACTCATAGTTGTGTACTTATTCATGGATGTTTACACCCATCATTGATACTGTTTCTCATGAGTTAAGAGTATAAAAATGCCAAAATCAATTACCAATCATATGAGTAGAATGAACTATCGTCAACCAAAAATTATGCTACAATTAAGTTATTAAGATACCATAAAGTATTTCTTATTTTTCCTAGTGTGTGTTCATGAAAAGATATCACAAAGGAATGAATGTAGCAGGATTGATTTGATCACTTTATGAACCAAAAGTATTGGTAAAGAATACTTTCTCTCCCTCCATATATAGATGGTGCAATTGGAGAAATGTTAAAAGATGGAATGACTATGCAATATTTTTAAGATGTGTGAAAATTCCATCTCTGCCTGATAACTGGAAGAATGTTGTCACTGTTCCCTCATATAAAGGAAAAGGCAACAAGAGTGAATGAAAATCTCAGGTGCGCTGGTTTGATAAATGTGCTTGGGAAGATACTCAGCAGAATGCTGATTGAAATATCCTGGCATTGAGCAAAAATTAACAAACACCTTATTCCGTTATTTGTTTGTTTGTTTCTTTGCTTGCTTGCTTATTTAATTTTTTTAGTAGATTATTAGGAATTGTTTGACTGTGAAAAGTTATTCTATGTAAAACAAAGATATGTGATGTCACTTGATTATTTAATATACTGTATGTATAGGTAAATAATTAAGAAATGTTTATACTGATATTAGATTTGTGTTGCATACACAAATGTGGATGTGGCTTTGTTCACGGATGATATCATGCTGATAATTGAGAATATGAGTGATTTGTAGTGACTGTGCAAGAGATTATATAATATAATGAGGTATATCAGTCTGAAAAATATTGCACTGAAATCCAAGACATATTTGGTCAAACACTATAAAAAAAAATATCTGAAGGAAGAGTGGATGGGCTGGGAATAAGGAGAAGATAGAAAATTTTACTGTTGGGTGCAACTGATTAAATTCTGAAAAACAGAAATGTAAGGAATATGTCGAACAAAAGACAGCACATGAATTAAAGACCACACATGAATTGTTGAATGGACATGGTGAAAAAAGGATGGTTTGCAATACTGAAAAACATGGAAAGATACATTAAATGCTGCTAAGTGATGATATAAACTATATTTTAGTTTCCTTTTCTGCTGTTAATTTCTTTCCATTACTGATTCTTACTCATCTTCTAGACTTTGCATAGTTGCTTCTCTCAAATGGGAAGAGCATAAGAGATAAATATCAATATTTCTTTAATATTTTTTTCTATTGAAATAGTAAAAAAGTATCAGTTCAGTAATTTATTTGCAGTCTTTAATGCACTTAGTCTAAGCACTCCTTTGCAGTCAACAACATATGACACAGTCTAGAAGGAAGGTTTATTACACAAACTACAATTGAATGTCCCATGTCAAAAGACTATCCACCTTGTTAATAATAAGTTGAGTGATGGGAATTTTCAATTAATGAGAGGGAAATAAGTGCTCTTCCAAATCTAAAATCCTCTTATTTCTGAATCTCAAGCAGAATTCTTTTCCTCTCAATTCCAGTTATGTCAAATTGTCTAAGTCCTTTTCCATCTCTCTATTCTTTCATTTTACTTTATCAGTATTTTTTTTATTCTCCTCAATTTCTTCAGTTTGTTTTCATCTTCTTCTTCTTTCATTTACTCTTTCATCTTTACAAACCTTTCTTCCATTTTCTCTTCAGATGCAGCCACCTTAAACAGATTTGACAGATTTGGATACTCCCCCCCACAATCTTTTCAATTTTTTTTTGTAATATTCCCAAGATAATACTGTTTTATTGCTTGTTTTAAGAATCTTCTTCCCTCACAACACTTTGCTACATTTGCAGTGGTAACCATTTTTAAAATTTGTAATCCAAAGATAAAAGTGGGTCCTTCAAGATGAATTCCAGAAAATCCTGGTAAAGACACTAGAAAAAATTATTTAATCTTTAATAAATTTTTTTGGAATGAGATGAAAATGGTACATGGGCAGAGCAAAATATATAGGATTAATACATTTGCAAAATTAAGAAATATATTAAGGGATATTCTTGTGTACTTTTTCAGGAAGAAGACCAAAGACCATGTTTTGAGGCAGCATTCTAAGATCAGACTGAAGATTAACAATGTAGATGCAATTGTACTTAAAGAAATTTTGATCAAGATAATGAGCAAGATAAAAGAGTTTTTTTCCTGAAAAGTTTAAACAGAAAAAAGATACCATTTTGATAGGACCAAGTGGATCTTTACTTTTAAACAACAGAAGTTTAGATTGAATTCGGTACAAAAAACAAGAGAATTTCTAGAAAAAATTAAAGGGGGAGAAATACAAATCTATGTCATAAAAAGCACTAAACAACAACTACACAATATTGAGGAAGAGGAATTTAGAGCGGAATGTCTGTGGTGGCTTAATTAAAACATAATTCATTAATAATGCTTTCTTGAGGGCAGTTTTCATGAACAGTACAGAAATTCTGAATTTTGTATACAAGTGTATACAAAATACAAATTACAAGGAAATATTGATCAATAATATTAGGAAGCTATTTATGCTTGATATTATCTTTATAATATTCACTATATTCTTTTTTGAATAATTGGTCACCACTGATAATTTCCTTAAAGGTAATATTTTAAATCCTGATAAATATATAATACCATTATAATTTATAATAATTTCTAAATTATTATAATAATTTCCATTATTACTTTAGGAAAACGTAAACATGATATTAAACATCGTTGCTTGCTTTGTTTGTTTTTATCAAATGTTTGATAGAATCCTCATACCAGAATGAATTCCTATTCGAATCCATACAGGAAGGCCAGGAAGATGTTGTAATTCAAATGACCCCATGAAACTGAGTATATCCAGGGCCATCATGGAAATGTCCACTGCATGACGGTTACCATTTCTGTTTGGTAAACCACTTACTACCATATATGCATCTCCAATAGTCTCCACCTGTTGAAACATGAGAAAAAAATCACAAGATATATCTGCTTAGGGAAAACATACACGGGAATCGAGCACTTTTAGAGGACTCCAGATTGAAGAAACTTGTTACAGAGAAACTTCATGAGAGTATGGATTTTTAAATTTTAACAAAAGTATCTCCTTTGTATTACTTTGGAAAAACCTTTTAATTGGGAAGGCCACAGATAAAAATAATTCTTGCCTTTTTTTAGCGCACTGTTGCCCCCACTACTTTTGTTTCATCTCAAGATAATATTTTATATTTTGTTCTCAAACTGGATCACCTTATAAACATCATGATGATCAAGAATGTGGTCAAAGTTCTTGTAGATGTCATTCAGCATGTCTACCACTTCCATAGGTGTGCTGTATTTACATATGGTTGTAAAGCCCACAATGTCACTGAAGTAGATGGTGACTTCTTCAAATAATTCTGGCTCCACAAGTCCAGTCTCCTTCAAAGATTTTACCACAGGCCTGAGGGGATGGGGGGGGGGAAGAAGAGGGCGAGGCTTATTAATTTCAAACATAATTCTGGCATGATAGTCACAGCTTTTATCTCTTGTTGAATCGCCTTGAAAGAGATGGCAGCTATAAAAATGTGATTAATANTAGTCCAGGCCAGATGGAAATGTGCCAACAAGCCTAGGAATCCGGAGGCCGTGGCAGAAAAAGGCCGGATGTTAAAATGCCACGATAAAAGATAGTCCAGTGCCAAACAGAGAACACAGGGGGAAGCCTCACAACAGCGGGGGCAGGCAAAGATGGAATCGCTTCTATAGGGCCACCTGACCAGACAAGAGCGGAGGAGGGGGGGCAAAGACGGGGCGAAGATGAAGCCATACGGAGGGGAGAGCCATACGGAGGGACTGCCGCGGCACCAGGCAAAGCCAGCCGCCCAGTTTCCTCAGTCCCAACAGTAGTGATCATCCACTCTCCCTCCGAAGCAGCAATAGTCCGGCAAAGCCCCCAGGAGACACAGCCAACACGCTCACCCTCAGCAGTGTTCTTATCAGTCCGCTCTCTCTCCAAAGTAATGGCGGCCGAGCAAAGCCCCCAAAAAGCGCTGCCGACAGTTCCAATAATTCCTCCGTCCGCCCGTTTACACTCCGGGGCGATGGTAACCAAAAAAAGTCCCCAGGGGGTGCCGCTAGCAACACGAGGGCACCAAAACCTTTAAAAAACGCCGAGGGACGTCGCCGCCAGCAAAAGACGCCGAAGTCCGCTACCGCCGTTCTCAGCATGGCCTCGCTTCCTCTACCGCCAGGCAGCACACAGACCTCCGATGTTTGAACGAGCCGGGAGCGCCCGAAAACGGCGGCCCCCGCAGAGGTCTGGCTTCTTCGGATCCCCCAGACTCCGGACATCCCTAAGGACCTCTTCACGGACAATTCGAATCGATTTTGTTGAGGTTTCCAGCATTTTCCGTCTGAGTCAGAACGGAGAAGAACGCCTAGCAGCCATCTCGGATCTCGCACATGCGCAAATACCCCCATTGTAGACAGAACTCTGAGATAGGTTGATTCTTCAAAAAAATAGCTTTGTTAGGAAGTATCATCTCGGCACAACTGGTAGAAAGCCAACTCTAAATGTTCCCGCGCTTTCCACCACATTAAAAAGTAAGTTTCCTGTTTCCCAAAACAATAAATCACATTGTCCAATCTGGATACTAGCTGGTCTCTCCTCTCCCTCTGGCCAGCCAGATGTTGGAATGTCCCTGACTCATCGGAAAGCTATGTTGTTTTGACTACAAACCCACATCTACCTTCAGCTCCAAGTTGTGTCAGCCTGAAGCCTTGTGGGAAGAAACCCTGGTAGGAAAGGGACACCCTCCCCCGCCAAAAGGAGATGGGCCACAGCCAGGTCAGCTTCAGTTTTGACAGCTCCTTTTCTAGCAACTAACTAACTAATCCTAAAAAAATGTCTACCACCAAGTTTGGCCACCATCAAAATTTGCTATGGTTTTACATCATTGGATATATAATCCAGGTTTTACACCTTTTTTCAGTTCTTTGTATTGTGCAGTGCAAGGAACCCTCACCGTGTTTTACCTTTGTAGAAAAGCTAGAGAGAATTCACCATTCTTCTAGAGGGATAAATGGCCTGTCCCACCTTACAAACTGACTGCAATGCAATGTCAGAAGCTATACCCAGTTGAGATCCTGGTAAATTGTTTTACCCTTCTCTGCAGCCTATAATTTTAAAAGACAGACTATGCAGAACTATATATTCTTCTCTAAAAAGTCTAGACAATGTATCATAAACAACATATGGAAGGGAGAGGTAAGTTATATGCCTATCATTTCCAAGTGATTTTCAAAGCTGCTTTCAAAAATAATATGCCCTACAATAAATTTCAAGGGCAAACTAAAGTTTCCTTGGCCAAGAGCAGAATGTTATACTTGATGAATGCCAGTCAATTTGCCATGTAAAGCAGAGTTACTCCTAAGTTGAAAAACTATATTGTTCTTGAATCTTTACTCTTGTTAGATAATTGTTATATGTGTGCACTTCAATTTTTCTTACATGGAAATTTAACTTTTAAATGAAACCTCCTGAGCATCTTGTTTGGACTCCAATTATAAATAGCATACTCTTAGGAGAAAAAAGCCTTTGAATATTTATGGAACCAAATACCAAAAATGCATATCATATTCATTCATGAATACAAATCAGCACAGAGCAAATATACATCTTCATGGTTTGCTTCCATTTCTTCATTCACTGTTTGGGAATAACAGGAATTCATATGATGTTGAAAGTATTTTGCCACTTAAACATCTAGTGTTGGCTTCATCCTGCTCAATATGGTTATTAATTAAATACCTCAACAGTTACCAGTATACAGTGATAACACAAATAGGGAATGTTATTGGTATTTGCAAAAATATTGTCAAGCCCCTTAACGAATTGCTATGATACAGCATGGGTTGCACAGGTAAACCCACCAGTGGCTGGCCAGGNATAGATGATAGATAGATAGATAGATAGATAGATAGATAGATAGATAGATAGATAGATAGATAGATAGATAGATAGATAGATAGATAAGAGAGAGAAAGATGATACATAGAGAGAGGGGGGGAGGGAGAGATAACAAATAGAGTTTTAGTACTTTACAAATACAGGCTTTATTTCTTGGTGGCTGGAGGAAAGGTCAGGGTTAGCTCTCTGCATGAATCAGAGAGGAAAGGCAAAGGCTCAGTATATTTCATCATTTCTAGTTTCTCAAGTATCACTATCAAACTGTTCAGTTCCACAGCTGTTCTGGAAAAGAAAGACAGAGGAAATGTACCCTACTGAGAATTGTTCAGAGAACAAGGATGAACCTGGAAGATGCCATCTACTTCAAAAATTTGGGGAAATGTTTTGGTCCCAAGATAAAAATCAAGCATAATTATTGTCATTTTACATTCTGTTAAGTTCTCTCATTTATGTTGCTGCTACCATTTAAGAAAGAATTCTCAGGGGAAAGATATATATTCTGAAACTTATTCTTGAAGGGAAAGCTAAATGCATATGTGTGTATTAAAGGAAAACCATTGGAGGAAAATATGGAAGCCTGGAAGAAAGGATAACTGAATTGGGAAGCCGGAATCTCAGACAAAGAGCAAACCTCCACACAGTGGTCCCTACTTGCTCACAGATGTTATCATTTACATAACCCAAAAGACACCACTCATAGGGAAACAGTGTCCAAAGGCTCAGAAGATATCTGTCACCTGGAGATACAGTATTTTTAAAATGCTGCTCAATAAGGGCCAACATTGTTCAGATAGCTGGCTATGGAGGGGAGTTTGAAATATATACAGCATTATATAGTGCCTGTTGTTATTGTATGATCTGCTTGAGACAAATATACAATCAGTAATGTTTAGATGAAAAGGAATCTACATTGTAAAGGTATGGCTTGATTCCATTTCAACAAGCTTTGAACAACATACATACAGAGAACCATAACATAACCCATTTCTCCTATTATCCTCCAATTAGTTTATAACTTGTTTCTAATTTTGTAAAAAAAAATGTAGATGGTACAATGGGAGGGTGGAGAGAGAGACCACTGTGCTTGCTTTGTGGTTACTTTGAAAAGTTGCCAACAGATGCTATGTTTGCATTTTCATTCACTTCAAATAATCTTTTTGGAACTGAATTTGCGAAGCCGTCATAGATGATTGGAAAAATGCATTTGCCATTAAAACATAAATACCATTCCCTAATGGTGGGGATGGCTTGGTGCCTGGTAATATGTAAGGCAGAGTGCACATTATGTGCTACAATTGGGCCTTATCACCTTAAGATATGACCATGAAGCTAAAGCAGGGCTGGAATGAACAAACCATTTAGGGGGAACTTTCAAAAAACATTACATTCCTGAGAAAAAGAAAGCATAAGGGGGAGAAAAGCTCAAAATAACCCAGCCTTGATTGTGTTTGGCATATGTGGAGCTCAGAGAATCTTGAACCGGCTTTCAATTTTTTGTTTTGCTGTAAAGGTAAAGGTTCAGGTTCTCCTTGCACATATGTGGTAGTTTTTCCCAACTCTAGCTGAAGAGCCAGCGCTGTTTGAAGATGTCTCCATGTTCATGTGGCCAGCTTGACTAAACACCAAAGGTACACAGAACACTATTATCTTCCCACCAAAGGTGGTTCCTATTTTTCTACTTGCATTTTTATGTGCTTTTCAACTGCTAGATTGGCAGAAGATGGGACAAGTAACGGGAGCTTCATTTCATTACGCAGTGCTAGGGATTCGAACCGCCAAACTGCTGACCTTTCTGATCAACAAGCTCAGCGTCTTAGCCATTGAGCCACTGCATCCCTTGTTTTGTTGTATAGTACTACAATTTTAATAAATCCTGGAAGCCCAACCTTGTTTGTTTCATGAACTTGGCTATCTGTTCAGGAAAAATGGTAGAGTGTCTATTTACTGACATTTCCTGCCATACCAATATTGATACACTTATAGTCTAATGTGGAAGTATAGGACCAAGATTTTAGCCTATGGGAAATAACTATTGACATTCCCATAGATAAATCTCAAAACTATACAATTATTTTTCATAAAATTATACAAAACGTCCTTAAAGTTGCTCCAACCAAGCTCTAACTATATGGCGAAGGGAAGAATTGTAGAAATCTTGTGTTTTATCTTTTTATTCTACTGGCTGTTTTAGAGGTGGTGGTTGTTGTTGTTTTACTTTTGAATGTCATTTAATCTCTAATTTCCTGTAATAAATTATATTCTATTGCCCCTCTGTCTTTCCATGTAATACTGGGTAATGCAGCTAGATGTTGCTCCTGGGACAGCATTAATATACTTTTTGTCCTTTCTATGGAATGATTTTAATAGATATCTCCAAATAACTGGAACATTCAGAGTGATGGTGGATAAAATATTGTTTTAAATTAGCTTCAGCCTAGGCTGGCCTCCTGGGACCTCAGTCTGCCGCTCTGCATGACTACTGCAAGAGAACAAAGCAAGAGGCAATCAACTGGTCTGAAAAGAAGTTACAGAATAGATTTGCAGTTCAGAAGAAACAAGATGTCTATGGAGATTCTCAGTCATCCAGGTCATGGTTGTGACAAAGGTGGTTTTTTCTAGAAGCAACTGGATACAACCTCATCTCTCTCCAGTTGACAATAAAGTCCTTTCAACAGTTCCAAGAAGGCTCCACACCCATTTGCACCACTCAGGTGACACTGATGACACAAATAAACCCCCAGGTGTCCTTAATACCTCACTAAAAGAATGCAAATGACAACTGTCTGCAAGGAGTATAAATGCTATCAGAACTGAAGAAGCTTCTTGGATGACAAGTTAAATGTCTTCAAAGAAAAACCAGAAAGTTTAGTTGCCTCTTGAAAAAGCACCTTTGTGAGAAGAAGCAAGAGTGATCCTGCAATAAAACATTGATACATTTCTTCACACTAGCCTGCATGGAGCAATTGATAGGACTTTATAGGCAATGGCACTTGTTGGAAAATATATTCTTTGAACTGGTATAGCTGTTTAGGAAAGGCTGCCACCCTTTCCAGTATGTACTGTCTTTTGCTACTGATACAACAATCAGGCTAAAGCACGCTATTTGAGATTAGCCTGTGTCAGCATTGGAAGCCATGTTAAACCAAAAGCTTCCACACTGTCACATTCTTGTGCTTGAGAAATTAGGGTAGGGGGATTTAGTAGAGGGAATGTAATTAGACATAATAGCATTCTTCTTTTCAGTCAAGGTCATGGCATTCCTGCACCTGGAGGAGGAGTGGTTGAAGTGATGTCTCGAGTTAGGATGAATTGGGATTGGGCCATGTGATGGACTGATGCGTGTAGGGGTTGGGTTTGGACTTTTGACTTACTGAGGGAAAGCCCGGCAATCTCAGATTCGGGTTTTCCCAGATGTGCCTGTGTACCTGCTCTAATAA